AGTGTAGCTGGCACGGTTAGTTTCTCAAGGTTAGGTTTCAAGGCTTTTAGTAAATACACATTTTATCAAAGCTATTTCTTGCTGACATGCAAATTCTATGTTCTATAGACAAAGCTTTCTTGTAAAACTATGGGGCCTCTTAGAGGTATAGCAAGAGGATTTAAAGGGGCCTTACAGATTTATAGAGGCCTAATAATTCTACAACAGTCCCCCCTAAAATGTTATTTGCTAAAAGACAAAACTTTATTTGCTAGTATCAGAAGAAGTATTAGCCCAAAGACACAGAAACCCCATGACCGCTGACTTAGTGTTAATGCAAAGTGCAAGTCTATCCCTCTCTTGACCCTAACAGGCTGCAGCACATCCGTCAGTACGGTTCAGGAACACTCTTCACTCCGCTGGTAACCCATAGTGGCTTATCCACTACTTCTCCGTACGGCAGTCCACCCATAAAGACGGACGCTGTCCCTGTACTGTCCCTTCCTAGACTTTCTGCACTTCATCAGTATAAGGGAGAGTTTGTAGCGGAATACAGGGTGAGGTGAGGTCTTGATCATCGATTGTCAGATGAGTGAAGGTTGGTGTTGCTTGGTCTACAGTTTTCTGCAGGAATTTCCTTAGGCATGGGAGGACACAACAAATGAGAAGAGTGAGAATAAAAAGAAAAATTAGTAAGGCAATACCAATCTGGACTAAAGCTCTCTGCCAACCAGTCATCCAACCAAACCATTTTTCCCAGGGATCAGTAACACCAGAGTTTCTCTTTAACTCTTCTGAGAGTCTATTTAATTTAGCTATGGCCAGAGTGACTTTACCATTAGGACCTGTGTTTTCTGGAATGTAAGTGCAACAAGTCATAGTGTCGGGAAGTATTTTACAGACCCCCCTTTTTCGGCTAAGATCATGTCTAAGGCCAGTCTGTTCTGGAAGGTCATTTGGGATGTGGCCTGTAATTGCTCGGCCAAGCCCTGGAGGGCATCCCTGGTGTAGTTCACGAAGCGCTATTGGTTGTAATAGATATAATTAATCCAATTAAGGTTTTTGTTGGCAGTGACTATGGTAAAAAGTGATTCAAAACCTGCAGCTACTTCATCTCTAGCTTTAAATTCATTAGGTACCCCCCTAGGCACCCCAATGGCATCTATGTAAATGTGGGGGTCAAAACTGCCTTTTACTGGGATTTCGGGCCTTACTCTGGCTGATGTATGTGGAGGGTCGTATGTGTCATGATGATTATCAGAAATAATATGAATGGGCATGATAACTTTGGCCAGGGTACACTCACCCCACCACTCAGTTTCCAGCCTAGATCTTAACTGTAGATCCCCACATAACCAGTAAATATCCCCCAATGACCTGGTATGGTGTTGCAACAGGCGTATAGGAACAGTTCTGTAAGTGGCTCAATAACCTTTAGAAAAATTACCCATGAATTTACCAATCCCGTCATACATGGCATAACAAGTGTAATTACCTCTATAGACTGTGATTCCATCTGGTGGCTTAACATTTTCAACTAAGAGAGGGTATTCTGCCGTCCATGCCATGCAGAGGGACCTATTAAAGTCATATTGGTAGGCAAAAGGCTTAAGAAGCAATCTTCTATCTCTAAAGGGAGAGTTAGGGGGACAGTGCCAAGGTGGGGTCGGGCACCGCCACATACATAACATGCTGTTTTATTATGTTTGTTGGCATTATACCTCATCCATTCTAACCACAAATTAATGTCATTGAATCCAGTTTCAGCGGCCATGGTATCTTCAAAAGTGGGGTTAGCGATGGTCATCATATCTTTAAAGGACTGGATATGTGGTTTTAGCGGATTTGGGACCATATGATCAGCCCCTTGCCACTCTGGAGAGTGGTGCATATCTCTGAGGTAGAAATGACCTAATTTGTTTTAGGAACCTTTCTTCCAATACATTCCCATTACATATCGGTCTGCATCCTCGGGGCCAGGATGTTCAATATTTAACATTAATTTCATAGGGGTACTTCCTCCAGGCTTTCTCAAAGTCATTCTTTGAAGGAGGGATCTACCCTGATTGTCTATCTTAGATAAAGCACTTTTGGGTTTATAACCCCAGGCAGGCCCAGTATTCCATCCCGCAGCCCCCCAGTAGTTACAGTCATAACCCCATTGTTCATTTACTACACAAACGTAAGGGTCTTTTGCTTGTGGGATATCTTTATAAATGGCTTGAATCTGTGACTTAGGGAATGGGCATTCTACAATATCACAGTAATCAAAAGTGAATGTAGCCACATGGGTACATGATGAATTATACCAGAAAGTGTACCCACTAGCATCTTTGGTGATGGCCACCTGCTGGGCTTTAAGGAGGCCAACTAAGGAGATAATGTACCAGAGGCACATGGTTGCATAGAGTTAGCTTCCTCTGGGGCAGGTGTCTTCTTGCAATGGGAAGCGTGGATCCAGTTAGGCCTTCCGGCCAATTTGACAGAGGTAGGGGAGATCAGGAGAACTTGGAACGGTCCGTCAAATCTTGGTTCCAGGGTGTGTTTTCGCACAAATTTCTTGACCAGAACCCAGTCACCGGGGAGCAGACTGTGGTTGCCTGTGTCAGAATCAGGATCTGGAATTTTAGAGAAAACTTGGACATGGATTTTGTTCAAAGCATTTGCGAGTTCAGTTACATAATCTACTAAAACATCAGTTTGAAGTTGTAGTTGTTGGGGAAAATAGCAACCTAGCCTAGGTGCAGTCCCAAATAGAATCTCATATGGGGACAGTGAGGTAGTATTTTTGTACAAGAGCATTCATTAGATCCTTTGATAAATGTGCAGGTCCGTGTGCCCATTGTACGACTGCTGGGTACAAATTCTTAGGGAGGCAGAAATTGAGGTTGTTGGAGTACACTCCATCCTTCAGAACTGCCCCTTTCTGTTTCCACTTCTGTATTTCTTCAGGGGCAACTGTAGCCTGTTGTTCCAGCAGGATTTTCAGGTCAGTTGGAAGAGTCTGCAGAGTAAATATGGGAGTTTCTTCATTTCCGGACACTCTTCTTTCCACTTCCTGTGGTTCTTTTGCAGCTTGTTTTGCAGCCTGATCAGCTAGATGGTTGCCCTTTGCTTCATCTGAGTCCAACTTCCCATGTGCTTTTATCTTCAAAATAGCCACTTCTTCTGGGAGTAGGAGGGCGTCCATCAGCTCCTTGATCGCGGAACCGTGCTTGATTGGTGTACCGGCGGTGGTAAGAAATCCTCTTGTTTTCCAAATTAATCCGAAGTCGTGAGCCACGCCCAGTGCATATCTTGAATCCGTGTAGATATTGGCGCGCTTTCCTTCAGAGATCTTGCATGCTGAAGTCAGGGCTTGCAATTCAGCTTCTTGTGCAGACATAGTTGATGGTAAAGATGATGATTTGACAATTTCATCTGTTGTGGTTACGGCATATCCTGTATGGTATCTTCCTTCTTCATCAGCATATCTTGAGCCGTCCACAAACAGGGTGAGATCGGGATCTACCAATGGGTCTTCATGCACAGTTGGTAGATGTGTTGTTTCCATTTTCATCTGTTCAAAACAGTCATGAGGTGTATCTGGGTCGTAGTCATTCACTATGGTTAAATCTTGGAACTCATTCTCCAGGAAATGACGTGGCCATGCTTTTAGGTGG